GGGAAAGCTACAGACAGTATTTTGGTTCATGTCTCTTAAATAAGAACTAGAAATGTAAAACATTCATTAATCTAATGTAAACTATATACTTTAGTTAATAATAATGTATCAACAGTAGCTCATCAGTTGTAACAAATTGCTATGATTTGACTGTGTTCTCATGAAATTCATGTGTTGAAATTTGGTGGTGATGGTATTACAAGGATGGAACCTTAATCCAACTATGGAATGAAGAGGTAGAATCTTTGGGAGGTGATTAGATAAAATCATCAGAGTAGGACCTCACGATTGAATCATGGTGGGTTTATAAGGAGAGGGAAAGAGTCAGGGTGGTTTTATAAGGAGAGGAAAAGAGCCTATTGCTGACACCCAGACACATGAATACAGACGCTTGCTCTTGCTGCCACTGAGGGATGCCTTGCACTGCCTCAAGTCAGCAGAGTCCTCATCAAGAAGAAGACCCACACTTGATGTGGCCTCTTGACCTTGGACCCCCAAAACTGTGAGCTAAGTAAACCTCTGTTTTCTATAAATTACCCAATTTTGGTATTCAATTATTAAGCAACAGGATGGACTAAGATACAAATGTACCATGTTAATGCAGGAGGTTAACAATAGAGCCAACTGGGGAAAGAAAGGAAAGGCTGGATAATTCTTTGTACTTTGGGTTCAATATTCCATAAACCTAACTGTCCTAAAAAAAACCACAAAGTGCACCAGCATGTTTAAAGTTCATTTGTATGAATCCTGTTTGTACTTTATAAATCTATTTTTTTTAGTTCATTGATTTTACACTTTCCCAAAACTACAGTGCAAAGAGTATGTAAGTTTTGTCTCCTACAAAAGAATAGAAATGCAAGTCAGATGTTGAAAATCAAGTTCCTTTTCTCCTTAAGAAAACAAGAGAGGGGCCAACAGGTGGCATAGTGGTTAAGGTGCTGGATTTTCATGTGGTCGACTGTGGTTTGAGCCCAGAACCTGGTGGCTTGAAAATCACGCCAGGTGCGCATGTGTGTATAGCAAAATCTCAAGAGGAGAATGGAAGAGAAGGGATTACAGTGTGACCGTCTGTCTGGGAGTGATTTCTCACTTTCCCTCTATCTTTCACCAGTGAGCATATACCCCTATGGCAAAAAAAAAAAAAGAAAGAAAGAAAGAAGAAAGAAAGAAAGAGGGTACTCACA